GGAGAGAGAGGTGGTGGGTGCCTTAACTCCTCAATTAGTTTTTCCATAGACCGTAGAATATAGTGTAGTGTAACGTGGTGTCCTATACGTCGTAATGAATCAAGAATGCAAGTGAGGGACGCTACCAGCGGAGCATCACAAGCAGGTATTGCCGGGGAAGGGCGGTACAAGTAATGGAAGAACACAAGAACACAAGAACTATAGAACCAGAAAGACATTCCAACAAAAACATACCCGGATCGTAATCGGCCGCGAGATCCAATCAGTCGGTGGCCCAGAGGAGCAAGACCCCGACGTAAGAGCTGGGTCGAAGCATGTTCTGCGCTTCTTAAGCGGGGGAAGTACACTGTTGCTTTCGCCGTGGCTTTTCGGGTGGTGGGTTTGGGTGTGAGGGACTCGGTTCAGAGGGATGGGTTGGAGGGCGCCGGAGGACACGAGCGAGGCCATGGGCGTTTGTTTTGGACGGCGTAGAGGAGCGATCTAGTTCATGCTGTGGGTTTCCGTTTGATAGTATCCGGAGAGCAAGACCCGGGGAATCTAGTGCAGTCGGCGTGTAACAAGGGTCTAGGTCTATTTGGTTGTGGTGAGCAGAGGAGGAAAAGGGCTCTTCGAGGATTGCGGTGACGCGCGATGCTCCGTCCGCCATCACGCGTCCGCGCGGCGGAGCGCGGGGTATCCCATTAAGAAAGCGGTCTGCTCGGCGGTCAGGTGCCGGCTTTTGCATGTTGGCACGAGCAGCTTGCACTTATACGGTGGGCTACTCGTGCCAAATTGCAAATACGAACTATCCCAGAAGAAATCATGAAGTATTTGGGCTATCGACCCAAACTTCAAATTCTCTCTCAGGATTTGCGCATTGCTTCTTTTGAGGAGTGTTCTTTTCTCTCCTTTTTTTCTTCTATTTTTGAAGCGCTGGCATTGACAAGATTTGAGATATTTGACTACATTTGTGATGTTACGACTCCAGCACAGGCTAAATCGGCTTACTCCTACGTGACTACAAATGAATCAGATCTTCACAACACAGGCATAGCCTGTCCTTCATTAATCTATATTGCTAATTTTGAATTAGCAGCTCATGATGACCGAAAGAACATCCGTTCCTTCCCCATCTATGCGATTGCTCCTATCGGAAACTTCCGAAAGTCCAGACCGAGGGACCCGACGGACAACACCACATGCCGAAGCCACGCACCGCGCGACTCCGAAGGCACTCGTGGTCTGGCCCATCGAGTCCCCCGGGACCCTGGAGGAGGCAGTGTTGAAGACTTTCGCTCCCGAAAACGCCGTGTAACAACCCTCCCAATATATGAAAAGTGGTATCATGTTGAATTTATCCTCGCCGAACCCGCCTCTTGTGGAGACGACCATGCAAAAAGTGGACAAACAATCCAAAGGAAACAATTGCTTTTTTTTGACATGTCTATGCTCATGCTTTGAGTTGTTGAAAACAAAGCAAAATCATCACATTCGTAACGCAAACATACTCACAAGAGAAGCAGGTGCTCGGGTACAGCGTTTGACACGCTTAGTACTTGAGAGCCTTAGGCTTCTCCCAGGAGAAGGACTGGTTGGTGAAGTGACCGTTCTTGGCGGTCTGGAAGTAGATGGGCTTGGCCAGGTCAAGCTCCTTGACGATGACACCGGGGCGGAGATCGAAGTTGTTGCGGATGATCTCGACGAGCTCGTCAGAGGACTTCTCGGAGGTGCCGTAGGTCTCGACGAAGATGGAGAGGGGCTCAGCGACACCGATGGCGTAGGAGAGCTGGACGAGGGCACGGCGGGCAAGGCCGGCGTTGACGAGGGACTTGGCGATCCAACGGGCAACGTAGGCAGCGGAGCGGTCGACCTTGGAGTAGTCCTTGCCGGAGAAGGCACCACCACCGTGGGCACCCCAGCCACCGTAGGTGTCGACGATGATCTTACGACCGGTCAGACCGGCATCACCCTGGGGACCACCGATGACGAAGCGGCCGGAGGGCTGGAGGTGGTAGACGGTGCGGTCATCGAGGAGCTCAGCGGGGATGACCTTCTTGATGATCTTCTCCTTGAGGACAGCACGGAGCTCCTCAGTGGTGACGTCCTCGCTGTGCTGGGCAGAGATGACGATGGTGTCCACACGGAGGGGCTTGACGGCACCGTTGTCGTGGGCGTACTCAATGGTGACCTGGGTCTTGGTGTCGGGGCGGAGCCAGGGGATGGAGCCGTCGTTGCGGGCCTCCTTCATGGCGCTGTTCAGTCTGTGGGAGAGGAGAAGGGTGAGGGGGAGGAGCTCAGGGGTCTCGTCGGTGGCATAACCGAACATGATACCCTGGTCACCGGCACCGAGCTTCTCAAGAGCCTCCTCGTAGTGGAGACCCTGGGCGATATCGGGAGACTGCTGCTCAATAGCAACCAAGACGTTGCAGGTCTTGTAGTCGAAACCCTTGGCGGAGTCATCGTAGCCGATGTCCTGGATGGCACCACGGATGACCTTCTGGTAGTCGAGCTTGGCCTGGGTGGTGATTTCACCGAAAACCATGACCATACCTAGGGGGGGCTTGTCAGAACAATAGCCACGTCAACAAGGGAAAACAATGCATACCAGTCTTGGTGGCAGTCTCGCAGGCAACCTGAGGGGTGCGCGTTAGTGATTGGTTCGATGCACGAAAGAAAAAAAAAAGACCCCGCGTAGATAACGGCAGCCAATCAGAGGGGAGTATGCGCAAAGGCCCGAGATGGAGGGGCACGTACCTTGGAGAGGGGGTCCTCAGCAAGGCAGGCATCGAGGATGGCATCGGAGACCTGATCGCTGTTGGATTGTCAGCAGGAGAGTCTGGCAAGGCAAATACATTCTTCTGAGCGAAGAAGAGCGAGGAACGCACGCAATCTTATCAGGGTGACCCTCTCCGACGGACTCGGAGGTGAACAGGAAAGTTCCGGTCTTGGGGTTAGCGACGCTGCCCATTGTGATGAGAGGAGATATGTGATGTGATTAAAGATACGAAAAGGGAGAAAAGCGAAGGAGAAAGAGGTGGGATTGAGGGAGGAGAAGAAGATGAAGAGAGAGAAAAGGAGAAGAAGTAAGCGAGGAGGTGGAAGGAAGGGGTAGAAATGAAAAGAATAAAAAGAAGGGGGGGAGGGAGTGGGAAGGCAGTGGGAGAGGGGGAGAAAATGAATGGGAGCCCCGCCGGTCTCTCTCCCTCCCCGTATTAATGTCTTTCCGATGGCGCGATTTGGCTCCGGCGGTGACGGATGGCAATAGTAGAAAGAAAAAAAAAAAAAAAA